CTGTAGAGGGCAGTGTCACTGGCCCTCATATGTGGGATCCAAACCGGGGCCCTCTGGCATCCCAAGCCAGCTCTTAACCAATGCGCCACTTGGCCGGCCTCATTTTTTTTTTTTAAAGATTTTATTGGGGAATTGGGAGAGGGGAACAGTGTTGGGGAATTGGGGAAAGGGGCCAGCCGAGTTGTTGTTCTTCAATCTTAGTTGTGGAGGGTACCATCGCCATCTGGCTTCCCGACGGCAGCTTGTGGCCTCTAAGCTCAAGGTGCTGTGTTCAATCTTAGTTGCCGGTGGGCATAGCCACCATCCCATGCGGGAGTCGAACCAGCAGCCTTGTTGTTAAGAGCACATGCTCTATCCACTGAGCCATTTATGGGCGGCAGCTTAGCTCAAGGTGCTGGGTTCAGTCTTAGTTGCGGGTGGGCGTAGCCCACCATCGAACAGGCTATCTTGTTGTTACACCAGCTGAGCCATCCTGCCACCTGTTGGCAGCTCAGTGACAACTCAGCTTGGGCGCAGCGTCACTGGCCCATGTGGGAATCGAACCGGCGGCCCTGTTGCTCAGAGCTCGCACATTTAAGCCAACTCGTAACCAACTGAGCCACTAGGGCGGCCCTCCCCTCATTTTTTTAATGAAAGGATGCTAAGAGTAACTTTTTCTTAATGTCATATTTTCTTGATAGAAAAAAGCTTGTGTTTTGTTTTTTCAGATTTATCTAGTTCCCAAAATCCAAGAGTCTGGAATCTTTAGTAAAGTACAAAGCATGAATTTACCAATAAAAAATAGAGAAAAAACAAAGAGTTTGGAAGAGAAAAAAAAAGTGAAGAAAAAATGTCCATCCTTACTAAAAATGCAAATAAAACAACATACTTTTTTGTCAGGAGTGCAGTAAAATTGGCACTTATACCTATTAATGGGAATATGAAATAATACAATTTATTTGAGGGTCAATTTGGCAATATGTTTAAAATTATTAAATTGCATGTACAGTAGTCTCCCCTTATCTGCATTTTCACTTTCTGCAGTTTCAGTTATCCACACAGTCAACCGTGGTCCAAAAATATTAAATAGAAAATTTCCCTTCTAATGGGCTGCATGGCTTTTTCACTCAGAACTGAACCTTTAGATAAATGTGTAATTAACTTAGCTTTTCAATGGGTAGCTACTACAGTTGCTAATACCGTGAAACATAACTAAACCTTAAGGTATAAAAACAAGCAATTTAACTCAAATAATATATCTGAGGCAGTCCTTCTCTTCATCATCTTTCTCTCATATATAACATATTTTCCCTCTGTTTTCTCCCTTCCCTCTGTGTAAAGTCTAAATCTCTTTTCCTTTGTTTAATCTCCTGTTTTACCTTCCCCTCCTTTTAACTTGTCAAAATACAGAATTATAGTCCATTTTAAAGTATACTTGTAATTATTGTAAAGCATTTTAATAATTATGATTAGTGTTGTGTTTGCTCTTTCTACTTTTTAAAATAGATTACTTGAACCTATTGTGTTATGAATAAATGAAGTAGCTTGCTATTTGTAATTGGTTTTCCATTGTGCCCATCCCCACCCCACCTTCCTACTAAGATACCATAGTAATGCTGTAATAACAACTGTTAATTTGAATTTTTTTCCTAACTTCAACAATGCTAGGAAGTCTTTCTAGTTTACACAGCACTTTCCATGTCCAAGGTCCTATACAACTAAACATAAGATTTCATCAAGACCTAGTTTTGAAAATATATGCAGGTATAGTGATGTTACTACGAATAGCATGGAATGGATTTTTGATTCCTATAATCTTTATCTTTGGTCTGGACAGTTCTCTCCTTCCTCAGTCTTAACTAGAAGCCTATGCAAATACATTCCCCTTTCCAGTCAGATTCTTGCCCTGAGGGCCTTCCTAGAGAGACATTTTACAGCTATCAAGGTACAGTTCTACAACACAAATACACAAAAGCATGATCATATGAACATGATGGATTGGAGGGAATCTTACAGAAGAACTCTTGTTTACAAAGGATTTACTTCACAATGTTTTGAAAGAGCATGTTTTCTTTAGTACATTCCAAATGAGTTGAACTTTTCAGAAATACACCTTCTAGGTAAATAAAATTATCTTTTTTCCCCCCTTTTGTCTGACCTAGATGAGATTATCCTAATGCTGCACCTCACAGCTATTAGTTTGTTTGCCTCCATCATAACAGCGACACCTCAGGCTGTGGAAGAAGTGACCCCAGTCCGGAGAACAGGAGCTACCCTCATTGCAATCACATCACCCCTCTGCAGATATCTCCCATCTCTAAAGTGGGGAAGCAAATATGTCACTTACTCGATGTAAAAGAGAAAATGATAAGGCGGATGACTTTACATCATTTACTCTATGCAAGGAAGACAATGATAAGGAGGACAAGTTTGAAGACGCCTATGAAATTATCCCTGTGGCAACAACAATGAATCTAATGTCTTCCCTGGAAGAATGCACAACTGGATTGTATTTGTTTCTAAATAACAGATTCTCAGATGCCATCAACTTCATTCATCCATGGTCGAAAAACAGCATATACCATGCTCTGATTTACGGTATCCTTATGGTTGTCAAGGCCATCTTGACTTTTGATCCACAGGATATAGAGATTGGAATGACTACTGTAAAGGAAGCTTTGAAAACCTGTAACAGTTTCCGAAGAAAATCTAGGGTGACGAATTTTCCTCACCTAGTGAGTAAACAGGGACTAAGGGCTGTCAAAGAGGTGGAACTGCATGCAGAAGTGTGCTATGCTGAGTGTTTGATCTTGAAATCCGCCGTAACATTTATACAGGATGACAGCATGCTTGGTTTTCTTAAAAGTGGGATCAATGTCGGGTTAAGCTACCAAATATACAAAGACTGCCAACAAGTATTAACACAGATACCTAAAAGCCAAAGCAAAACCGATAGACACCTGGTTGGAGGAGTAAAATTTGGACTTGGAGCATTCAATTTGATGTTATCACTGGTGCCACCAAAGATACTTAAGTTACTCAACATTGTTGGCTATCAAGGTGATAGAGAGGTAGGCTTGACTTTGCTTCATGAGAGTGCATCTGAATCCCATATAAATAATATCTTAAGTATTTTGACGCTACTCTTTTATTACAATTATATCTATGTAGCTTTTGGTGTTGAAATGGGTTCCAGCTCTACCATAGAGGATCTCTTCCTAATCTACCTCCAGAAATTTCCAAGGTGTGTCATACTTAAATTTTTTCAAGCACGTTTTAGTATGCTGAAAGGAAGTTTTAAAAATGCACAGTTAACATTAGAGGAGTGCGTTTTTATTCAGAACGAATGGAAGCAGATTCACCACCTCTGTTACTGGGAACTCATGTGGTGCCACATTTTTCTGCAGGAGTGGAAGCCAGCTTACCACTACACCAACCTGCTATCTCACAGCAGCAGGTGGTCCCAGGCAACCTACTTGTACAGTAAAGCTATGCTACTGGCCTTGCTTCCTTCTGGTTTTGCGAAATCAGTAAATGAGGACATGAACTCTCTCTTCTTAAAAGTGGACAACCTGAAAATCAAATTTTCAGGAACTCCTGTGCCAATAGAAAAGTTTGTTGCTGAGAAGGGTCAGCGCTATGGTACTACAACAGGCTGGTTTACAGCGCAGCCCATTCTGGAATTCATTTATGCCTGGAGCGGTTTCCGAGTCATGAGCAAAAAACTACACCTCATTTCATGCTGGCTATCAATAATTGACAAAGGAGAAGACTTTTTACGAAAAAATCCAAATAAGGAGTATGGCACAGATGACATGACTTTGCTCAATTTACTGAAAGGTCTCTGCCTGAAACACTTAGGCAGATACTCAGCAGCTGAGCAGTACTTTAATAGTGTCATTGAAAAGGAGAAATTGTTAAAATATGACCATTATCTGGTGCCGTACACGTACTATGAACTGGGCATTCTACACTATCTGAAAGGCGATTATGCCAGGGCAACAAAACACCTAGACAACATAAGAAACTACAAAGATTACTCCATGGAAGCGCGATTACAGTTTAGGGCTCACATAGCCCTTGAGCAAATAGCTAAAGAAAAGTGATTTAGACACCAAGTGTGGTTTTGTTTATTATGAGTGAAGCGTCTACAGCCAGCATGATAGTTAACAGGTAGAAGTTTGTGAAAGAAATCCAAGAGGCAGCTGCTAAGAATCTGACCAGTAACATGTAAGAAAGGAATTACTTTTTCCTCTTCTCCGTACCTATAAAATGGAGTGTCTTAGCCTGGCAAATGGAGTGATGTGCATTCTTGAAAAAGAAAAGGCAAATGACATACATTATAAAATATAGTCTCTTATATAGTTATGAATTTATCAATCATGTTAGAGAACATTTTCAAAACCTCAAAAAATGTTTTTTAACATTTCACTAGATAATGTATACCACTCGCAAATAACATAGGAAAGGTAGCTACACTAGGAATCCCAGTGCCCTGTTAATGTTATTTAATCAGTAAAGACTTTTTAAAAAGTCTTTGCAAAAAAGACTTTAAGGTCTTACTGACATTTCAAAACAATGATGTACTGAACACTATAGACCCTGAATGGTTTTCCCTTATACACAGTAATGTTTATTGGCTTTTTACACCAGACAAGATACTTGCCCTGTGTGCTCGGTATATTTCACCTTTTATCATTAGGAAGCTCAAATATGGGTCTAATAATTTGCCACAGAATAGAGAAGAAACAACACTCCTCTTCACACACACACATCCTTTGAAGATAATTTGAAGAGGACAACAGGATAAATGTGTTTGGTAGGAATAAAAGAAGACAAGAGCAGGCTGTTGGAGGGAGAGTTTAGTTGCCATGTAGCCTTGCCTTTAGCTGCCCTCTCTAAAGTGTAATTCCTATTAAGACCAGTTCTTCAATGTAATTAAACCACTTGCACCTATCCTGTTGACATTAGTGGACTAATCTGAGAGTAAATGGCAGCTGTAGGAATGGGGCGTGGTACTGTTTTACTTGCCTGAGGCATAAAATCAGTCACTAGTTTCTAGACCGTTAAGTCTGACTAAGTGTATCCTTGCAGTCACCCTTAGAAACAGAAATCATCGGGCAAGTTTGCTTTGCTACAACACAGGAGTGAAACATGTTATCGTAATGCTTTGGGTGTCCAAACAACCAACTGGAGCACAATGAGGATCCAGTATTTCAGGTTCAGAAATGCTTGGGTTGAAAAATATGTTTCTCATTAATTAAAAATAGACTTTCAGATGCACAATTATACTTGAGTTATTTGCCATTATTTAATAATGACAGTACCGTATAGAGGTTAAGTGGGAGGCTCTGGCCTGATCCCCTGGATTTGTATCTTATGTAGCTGTCACTAACAAGCTGTGTGGCCTCAGGCCTCTGTGCCTCAGTTTCCTACCTATAAAATTGGGATAATAGTTCCTATCTCATGGTTTTCCTGTGTCCATTAAGATTGAGTCAATGCACATTTATTACCACTACTACTACTACTACTAAGAATAATATATTGGGCCGGCTGAGTAGCGCGTTGGTTAAGAGTTGGCTTGGGACACCAGCTCTGAGCAGCAGGGCCCCGGTTCGGATCCCACATGAGAGCCAGTGACGCTGTGCCCTCTATAGCTAAGATGGTGAACAATAGCTTGACCTGGAGCTGGGCTGCCATGAGTCGCCAGCGACCACATAGGCTACAGTGGGGCTGACCAGCAGCTGGTGTACACTTTCGTGAACTGCCATGAGCCACCGTCCAATGGCCCGGCGACCGATCTCCCTCACCAGGGAAGAGCGCAATGATGGTGCCAACTTGGGCCAGTGAAGCAACGTCCTCCACAACTAGACTGAAGAACAAAAGGACAGCAACTTGTCTGTTCCCCTTCCTCGATTCCCTAATGCTGTTCCCCTCCCCCAATTCCCCAATAAAATCTTTTAAAAAATAAATAATAATAATAATGCATTGTTCTTCAGTGTAGAGGATTTAAATAACTCTTGGAAAAAGCAAAGGTTCCTTTGTTACCTGCTTTGCCAATCTAAAAATTTGACCTGTTAATTTGTTCTTAGTTTATCTTGGTCACTTATGAAATAAGTAACTCTCTGCCTAAACTACAATTTTGTGTTTTGTCCCAGTTTCTTCCAATGAACAGCAAATTTATTAATTGGTTAAACAAATATATGTGCCTACTCTATGCAGGCACTGAACAGGGTACTGAGGATATGAAGATAAAGCATGGTTTCTCTCCTAAGGACTTTGTTCAGGAGACAAGATAGAAAAAACATTTCGTTGGGGATGGAAACACTTAAAACAACTGCTTAAACAGACAGGAGTTTATTTGTTCCAAACAAAAGAAATCGGAAGGTTGGTAGTTCAGGTCTGGTATTGCTCTTTTTAGCTCTTGTTTTTTTGCTTGGCATGGAGGCCTTCTCATGCATGTTTGTTCATGAGGAAAGAGGCTGCCTCATCTCCAGGCTTTAGGTCCAATCAGACAGGCTGGAGGAGGAATGGTTACGGCGCAAAAAGACTTTCTCTTTCTTAGGAGGCCTTGCCTTTTTATATTGAAAGGGGCAGCCTCCCCAGAACTTCCATGTATATATCTCATTGGCCAGAAACATTCATATGGCCACTTCTACCTACGCGAGAAGCTGAGATTATTTTAGCTTTCAAGCCTCGTCAATTAGGAGGTTGTGGGAAAGAATTGTTAAATGAACCAACCTGCAGTTACACATGCGTATGTAACAAAAAGCTACAAAATTGTAGCAGAAGGGGCACAGTTGAAAAGGGGGCAAGGCAACAATGAGATCAAGGTGGAGAAAACTGTATGGGGATCTAAGAGGAAATCTTGTGATTGACACTTCCTTGGTGAAGGTGCTGCCACAGCACAGGTTCTGGCCTTTAACTGGCCCAAGAGTTGACTAGACACATAGAGGCTGATTCTCACCAGTCAAACTCACAAGAGATTAAGGTACAATTTTACTCTGATAACTTATTTATTTATATTAGGGACTATTTCAGAGTTGCAAACTCAATTTCCTGTAGGGATCAGGCAAGGAATATAAACATTGAAATGGCCAAGTGTAAAATAATGAAAGTGGTGGGAACTAGTTGTGAAGAAAAGAGAGAACTTATCAAAAGACTTTCAAATTATAAAGAAATTTAACACTGTGCAGATATTATATATCTGCCTGTCCAATATGACCTGTTGGCCCCTTAGATTGTGACTTCTGGTCTTTTCCTTTGTATTGACTAGAAAGTGCTCACGTTTCCGTCTCAAGAACCATCTCTCCAGTTGGTTAAGAGCTGCTCAAGAGTGCGAGCTCTGAGCATCAGGGTTGCCGGTTTGATGCCCAGCCTGAACTGAGCTGCCAACAGGTGGCAGGATGGCTCAGCTAAAAAAAAAAAAAAATCCTGATAAAAAGTGTACCTGCAAAACCAGGGGAGGAGTCACAAGGCAGGCAGCATGGTGAGCATGGCATCAGAATATAGAGACTGATGGTTTTACGAATATCTACTCCAGATCTGGGTGAGACTTAATGAAGCAATATGGATACATCTCTGGGAAGTCCCTGCCTTCCAGATTCAAAGTCTCTGAAAAATACCTCCCAGCCTTTTGCTTGCTGACCTCCTCCTTTGCCTTCTGCTGCCAACCCTGGGTTACTGAATGTCTAAGTAGGATAAAATATAATTAAGTATTCATCTACTAAAATACAACCCCATTCCAGTCCTGCTTCCAGAAAATACAACCAGGTCCCTTAGTTTGGATTTTCGCTCATCCCCACATTCTTTGTTTACACATATTATATAGATGGTCTCTTTGTACAAGTGAATCACGGATATAATCACATCCATTTTATTTAACATATTTGATAGGCAATGACACAGAAGCAGTTTTCTAAACTTCTACGAATTACATTTATTTAGTGTGCTGGAGTTCACAAAGTCTGTTCAAAGCATTTTTATTCTAGGAAAACAATCCTGTCTTCATTGTGCTGCTGGGGAAACTAATCTTCCCTCTCTGAGGCTGTAAAATCTCCCCTCTGGACAGGGCTGGGGAGGGCAGATAAGCAATCAACTTAAAGATACTGCCTCCCTAAAATTGGATTTCCATTTGGAAAGTGGTTCTGGAATCCCCCCCCCCCCCCAATATCACTGCTTTGTTGAGTAGAGAGGCTACATTTTACTTCAAGTTTCATGCTGTATATACTTTTTACTTTCCTATTTTCCCCACATCCAGTTTCTCTGAGCCCTTCTAACACATCAATTTAATCATATCATTCCATCACTCAATTTTTTTCTCATTCTCTTTGGTCTATTTATTCACTCATAAAATGAACTGTTTGAAAGTTCTTAGAATAATAATACCTGGCACATTATTAGGTGCTGTGTTACTGACTAGGAAATAAAATTCCATTCAAATTGAGCACCTACTATATACCAGGCAATACTCTAGAGGTAGGGTATATGGTAGTAAATAATACAGATATGGGCCCTGCCCGTAGAGTGTTTACAGGGCTTACTAAGTGACTGTATCTTAGTCCTGAAGATTTAGAGCTGACAAGATCTTGGGTCATCTAATCCCACATTTTCACTTATAGATAAGAAAACTGAAATCTAAGAAGGCAAATGACTTCCAAAGTTATAAAGCTGGTAGGAGCACCTTCACTGGTATGCAGGAACCAGCTTAAAATGGCTCATAAGGGGCCGGCCAAGTGGCTCAGTTGGTTAAGTATAGATATAAGGCTTAAAATGCAAATGACCAGTTATCACAAAATGGTTGTAGCTCTTTTGGACTGGATTTTTATGACGTCAGATGTTTTCCTTCACTCTATAGTAACAACTGGTATTTATATGAGCTCTTTGTAGATTTAAAGACTTTTAACTGGCAAAATCTAATTTAATCCACTAAAGTCACATTAATATCATCAGCCAATCATTCAACGAGTGAAGGTTGTAGGAAGGATTATTTGAAATGATGACAATAAGAAACAATATATTAGGTTGTAGGAAAAATGACACATTTTTGCAACGAAAAACAGAGAAAAAAAATACATCATGACTTTTCTGACAACCCAATAGTATTTCAAGGATTATATGGAACTCAAATCGCAAGTACTAAGGGAAAAGCTGATTAATTTTTTATGTTTTCTACATCGTAGTTTGATAGTCCCCCAATTCAGGTTTTTTTTTGTAAATCTCTCTTGGTGTTCATATTTGCGAGAACAAAAACGTTTACTACCTTGTACCATTTTTCAGGATCACAGCCCAGAAAAAATTCTGGACCATGCCAGGGGCCAAGTACTCGACCACAAATCTGTGGAAACGAGTCTTCTGCACGTTTCCACTGTGGGTGGGGCGTTTACAGCAAGTCAGTGGCTAGGTGGAGCGCAACCCAACCCCGTGCTTTTCTTTCCAGCTTCCGCACCTCCCGGAGGACTGAACCAAGGGCACATCTCAAAGGAGCAGGCATCTTAATCACCTTACAGAGACCAAACAAACAGGAAATACCTTGGCTCAGTCGCTCTTCTCCAAGGCACTTTCACCTCACACTTTCAGAGCTTTAGGATTCCCCTAGGGGATTCATGTGCTTTGCATCCATGGCAAAAGGGAATTCCATTTGTACTCTCAACGAGGAGCTGGCAGGAGCATTTTCCTCTTAAAAAAATTCTTTTTTGAAATGTCCATCGTGGCAGTGGAGAGGGGTGGCCCTAGCGAACAAGGACTTATTATTATTACACAAAAATCTCAGCCCCTGCCCGCACCCAGTAACCTGCCTTTGACGTCCAGGTCCTGCGACTCTTCAAACCTCCAGGTTTGACTAAGGCCAAGGACTACAAAACAGAGACTTCTGGGGGAAGGAAGTGACGACGTGGCGCAGAGCATGCTGGGCCCAGGTGGGCTCCGTTTCAGAGGCTCCTTCCTCACAGCGTGGTTGCTGAGTACGCGGCGCTGCTAGGATATTTAACTGGTATTTTTCTCGTTTGTCAGGATTAACCATTAAGTACCACCTGGTTTGAGTACGGCTCTAAGTACCATGCGGCTGCAGGCCAGGCCCGGATATCTGAGCTCTAGAGCCTTAGCTGCTACCCCGTCGTTTGTGCATCCTCCAAACAAATTTTAAGAGGAAATCGTCAAATCCGGGGCCTCTCCCTAGCGGGGTGCAACGGAGACGTAGAGCCAAAGAGCGAGTGGGTGGATAGTAGTTTTGTGTTTCAATTTTGGCTAAAAGTGGTGTGGAATGACGTTTGATCCAAGGAGAGCAGAGTTTAAGGGTTTGAGCATCTGGAGAAAGGAGTTCAAAGCCAGCGCGAAGGCGATCTGGAATGGGGTTGGGGGTGGAACAGAAGTGTGCCAGATGAGTAGTTACCCCAGACCGGGCGACGCGGCGTCCCTTTAGCTTTCAGACTGAATAGTAAATACTGTAATAACTATTTTCCTGATATATGGAACTTGAGGCAAATCACAGATGTTATTTACCCTCTAGGATGGAGATTAGGGGTAAGGCATGTGCTTGAGTGGAACATACGTATTAACCCGAACTGGTGGTTGTTTTAGATCTAGCCAGCTGGCAGCCATGAATGAATGGATGAAGAAAGGTCCCTTAGAATGGCAAAATTACACTCACAAAGAAGTCAGAGTGACAGCGAGTGAGAAGGAGTATAAAGGATGGGTTTTAACCACAGACCCAGTCTCTGCCAAGTGAGTATGGGTCCTGCTTCCCTGAAATCATGACGCCTCTTTGTGCTGCCTTTGTGTTATATCCAAACTCAGAAAGCAGATAATGAAAGTTTTATTGTCTTTGAATCTAAATGTGGCGCTAACTATGGATTTACCTTGTCAGACCAGCCAAATTCATACACTTATATTCTTATTACATTTTTATTGGAAAATTTCAAACATACACAAATATAGAGAATGGTATAACAAACACTAACCTTATTCCTCATTACATTTTAAAGCCAATTGCAGGCATAATTTTGTTCATAAACACTTCAGTATATCTCTTAGTAGATATGGACTCTTTAATAAATGTAAGCACAATATCGTAACACCTAACAAAAGTAATAATTTTAATATTGGCTAAATCCTAGTCTGAGTTCAGATTTGCCCGATTGTCTCAAAAGTGTCTTTTTATATTGGTTTATCAATTTGGTTGAGATGTCTCTTTTTTTGTTTATTAATTGAGGACTTGGGGGAGGGGAACAGTGTTGGGGAATTGGGGAGGGGACCAGCCAAGTTGTTGTTCTTCAATCTTAGTTGTAGAGGGCGCTGGTCACCATCTGGCTTCTAGTCAGCAGCTCATGGCCTCTAAGCTCAAAGTGCTAAGGTACAATCTTAGTTGGGGGTGGGCCACCATCCCATGCGGGAGTCGAACCAGCAGCCTTGTTGTTAAGAGCTGGGCAACAGCTCAGCTCAAGGTGCTGAGTTCTGTCTTAGTTGCGGTCAGGCATAGCCCACCATTGAACAGGCAGCCTTGTTAGGAGCACGGGCTCTCACCAGATGAGCCATCCTGCCACCTGTTGGCAGCTCAGTGGCAGCTCAGCTCGGGCTGTGAATCGAATCGGCTGAGCCATTCGTCTGGCCCTATCATGGTGTAGGTTAACATGTTCTTTTATCTTCTGTGTTTCCTATAAACTGGTACTCATATCTCGAGGTCTGATTAGGTTCAGATTTATTTTGTGCAAGATTACTTTAAAGGTGGTGATACACACACGTGTTATTTTGAAATGGTTTTACATTTACTGAATACTTGCAAAAAAAATACAGCATACCCATATACCCACTTCCCCTATCCCTGATACATTTGTCAAAATGCTAGCATCTTACATAACCATGATACATTTGTCAAAACTAAATATCTACTTTAACTAAACTGTAATCATTTGGATTTTGCCACTTTTTCCACTAATGGCCTGTTTCTGTTCCAGGATCCAATCTAGGGTCCAACATTACATTTAATCGTCATGTCTCTGTAGTCTCTTCTAATCTGTGACAGTTTTTCAGTCTTTCCTTTTTTTTTCATGACCTTGACACTTTTGGAGAGTACTGGTGAGGTATTTATAGAATGTCTTCCAATTTGGGCTTGTGTGATGTTTTCTCATAAATATACTGGGTTTTTGAGAAGAGTACTACAGAAGTGAAAATTATTTTTACATCACATCACACACATATATCGTATTTTACTTAGGAGTTTTGCATTTGTATTTGTAAGATTAACTTGTAGTTTTATTTTTTAGCTCTGTCCTCTGTCTTTGATATCAAGGTTATATTAACTTCATTAAATGAATTAAGACATAGTGCCCTTTTATAATCTCTAGAAGAATTTGGTGAGATTAGAAATGTTTGATTCTTGAAAATTTTATAGAGCTTGCCGTTAAGTTATCTGGGCCTTTTTTTCCCCCCTCCATTGCAAGTTTTTAAACTAGTTATTCAGTTTTTATTTAAAGATTATCAGACTATTTACATTCACTCTCTTTTTTTGTTTGTTTTTTGAGTAATAAAAATTTATATTTTCTAGGACGTTTTCTAAGTTCAAAGTTATTTGCATAAATTTGTTCTTAATATTTTATACTGTTAATCTTTGCTGCCTTATTCCTAATATTGTTTATATGTGCCTTCTTTCTCTTTTGTTATTAATCTTGCTGAGTTTTGTGAGTTTTATATGTTTTTTTCAAAGAACTAACTTTTGGCTTTGATGATCCTCTTATTGACTCTTTAGTTTTCTATTTTATTAATTTTGTGCTTTGTTCCACTTTGAAGAGGAGTTATCCAGTTGTTCTTTAAAAGTTAAATCTGTTCCCTGTCTTCTTTTCCATACACATTCAAGGCATTCGTAACTCTTTAAGTAACACTTTAACTGCATTCCACAATGATTAGCTTTAGACTGGACAAAAATTTTAGATGCTTAGGCCCTTCAATGAATGCTTACTGAACAAGTGAACACATTTGGTGGTGAGAGGATTTTTTTTGAGAGGATTAATTTTAAACAGGGAAGAACATTCCCTATTATTCTAGTGACCTGCTAGGGTTGATGATACCTCTCATTCAATTGCTTCTTTCATAGTTTTATGGGCCTTTAGGTTTTTCTTTTGCAAATCTGCTCTGAACTTAACTTTTCTTCCAAAGTATTGTCCTCGTGAACTTCCTTGAAGATGGAGGCATGTCTGTGACCGGAATTATGGGACATGCTGTGCAGACTGTTGAAATTGTGAATGAAGGGGACCATAGGGTAATAGAGAAGCTGATGCATTTGTTCACGTCTGGAGACAGCAAGGCGTACAGCTCTGAGGATCTGGAAAAGAGAAAGAACAGCCTGAAGAGTTGGCTCGAGAAGAACCACATCCCCATCACTGAACAGGGGGATTCGCGAAGGACTCTGTGTGTGGCTGGGGTCCTAACTATAGACCCACCATATGGGCCAGAGAATTGCAGCAGTTCTAATGAGATTATTCTGTCCCGTGTTCAGGATCTCATTCAAGGACATCTTGCAGCTTCCCACTGAGAGGCAAGAACTACGGATTCATTAAAATAAAACTTCACTTTTTTTTCCTTCATAAAATGTTTTGAATCTAAAGTCCATCATATTACAGGTCTTTAAAGGTACACAGTATGTGTGTGTGTTTTAACTCTTTGTTGTTTTGGTAGAATCAAAGATGTGAATTATGAGGACTAGTAAATGAATTGTGGCAAGGATAGCATCACATGCAACAAAGTTAGCACAGGGACATCAGAATTCTAAGAGTCTTGTCTTTGATGGGACTACACCTCCATTTTTGTTAGGCAAGAAATGTATTTGGAAAGAATGTAACGTATTAAGATTCAATATAAATGTATTAAGTCCTATAGGTCTATTTTAAAATACTTATCTTTTTTTGGTGTAATGATGAAATAGTTTTTGAATCAGAATATAGGGTGTTTTGGTTAAAACCTGAGAGTTTTGACTATTGGTAAAGTCTTAACACATAACCCTGTAACTCTCAAAGCCTTTAAAGTGAGCACCTCCTGGTATCTGAGGGAGAACGTAAATAAGACAGGTATCCTGCTGCTGAATTCAACCCAGTTCCTTTGCTCAGTGAGATCAGCCCAGGCTTCTGGCTTGTGATGCTTTTTGCTTATAGTCCACACTTCCCAGATTAGGCTTCCCTGAGGGGAAAGGATGCGAGAAGCGTACTTCACTACACCTGACCCTTGGAAGCCAGTCAGAGGCCAGGACTCTCTCTACATGGAGGTTTCTGGTCTAGAAAGGCACCAATACTAGTTTGGAGGTCTTTTCAGGGGCATGTCTAGAATGACTCCAAGGTTCCCATATTATAACTCTGAGCCCGATTCCCTAGGACAGGAGTCAGCAAAATTTGGACCCTTGGGACAAATCCGGCCAGATGCCTCCACTTGTTCAAGTTTTATTGGAACACACTAGTTTATGTTTTGTCTGTGGCTGCCGTAACTCCAGAGTTGAGTATTGTGACAGAAGCTATATGGCTTATATTTAAGAAAAATATGGCCTTTTACAGAAAGACCTTCCCTCACAACTTGAAAGTTCCATGATCCTATAAGTGCAACTTAGTGCATACCTTTCTCCGTATGACTTAAGACTCTCCCGTTCAAATCCTGGAATGCCTTTGGAAAGCAAATAGAGCAAGGGGAATAAGAACAAATTAAATTTAGCATGGAAAAGGTTTTTGACAAAACGAGGCGGCCTTTCGAGGAGAGAAGCCATGTAAGAAATGATCCACAGCATCGCTCGGGCCTGGTCCTTGGCCCAGGGACAGGCAGGTGCACTGGTGTGGGTAGATTTATTTGCTGTCCAGCTAATGAGCTGGGGACAGAGACTTCCTTGGCAACTGAATCCTCTGTTTAAACAATTTGCCTGAGTGTTGAAGAGGGTAAATGATCTGGCTCTGCCATGGAAACCTGCCTGCTTAGGGAGCTCTCCCAGCCAGTTCCTCAGCTAAGATTCTCCCCCAGGAATTGAACTCACCTGTTTCAGATCCCTCCTCTGGTTCCAGGTGCCCAGGGCGAGAATCCCCCCCAAAGTTGGCTCTGCTTACCTCAGGCTGGAGGCGGTGACCGGGGCAGTCTTTGAACACCTTGGTATCAAGAATACTTTTCAAAATAAATGTTATGACTTCACTGAGTATTTTTTGATCCCCTTGAAGCAAAGTTTCCAACCTTTGCACTGATTTCTTGCCATGCCCCATTGTTCACGTGATTTCCTAAATTTGTCCACTTTCCCCTAAAGATGTTAAAGCTGAAATAGGTTTTTGCATGAATTAAGTTTGTAAAAAAATTATTAATGAAAAATTTAAAAACATTCACAATCATTTTATTTGACGAGAACTGATGGAAATTTTATGATGCATCTTGAAATAGATTCTAGAATGCTAGTGTCAGGTAAGGATTATATAATTCATGCTTCAATTTTGGGAGAAATCAGAGCAGTGAAGGACTACAATTACATGTACTTAATTGCTTCTACTGCCAAATACAATTTTTTTTAATTTATTGAGGTATGATTAACAGCTGTACATATTTAATGTCTACAACTTGACGAATTTGGAAAGAAGTATACATCTGTGACACCATTACCACAATGTATGCCATAAACATATCCATCACCTCCAAAAGTTTTCTCCTGCTTTATTATTATAGAATTCGGTTTTTTTGCTCAAACAATATTAAAGGATTTTTCAGTTACTAAAAAATTATTCCAGTATCCAGACATGCTTTTTTACTTTTGTAGATTAATTTATAATCCTTTAAAATTGTTTATGTAATTGTAATCAATGTATAGTTTATTTTTGTTTCTGCAGTTTTCATAATTTAAGACAATGTCCTATTGTGTTGAACTACAACTTATTACAACATTCCCCTACATTTTGACGTTGTGTTCTACCTCCTTGCTGTCATAGATTATGTTAAAAAGAGCATCTCCAGGAATACAACTTTACTGCTAGAATCAGACTATTTAAGTGCCTAGAAATGAAAGTACTGTGTCAAAGAGTATAAACACATGTAGTTTTTCCCTTATATTTCTTTTTAAATGGTTGATGCTGCTTTATATTGATAAGAGCAATAAATTAGTATATATACAAATTTCAACAGACCCTTAGAGTACTAACAATTTGTATAATTTTGCTACTGAACATAAAGTGTTTTAAAGTTGCTTTAATTTATATATTTTTTTAAGCTTTTATTGGGAAATTGGGGGAGGGGAACAGGCTTGGGGAATCAAAGAAGGGGAACAGACAAGTTGCTGCCCTTTTGTTCTTCAGTCTAGTTGTGGAGGACGTCGCTTCATTGGCCCATGTTGGTATTATCATTGTGCTCTTCCCGGGTGAGGCAGTTGCTCGCCAGCCATTGGACAGTGGCTCATGGCAGCTCACGGCAGAGTTCCTAATGAGGTTTCATTTTAAATTTAAACATTTTGCCATCACATACCTATAGAACTCTATACTCCCATCTCCCTTTTTATCCCTATTTGTATTTTAGCATATTGGCCAAAGTCTACTAGGTTGGACTTTGTTAAGATAACACAAAGATAAGGGTGTGTGTGTGAACTTTAAACATCTTAATGTGGGCCTAAGTGTGAGAACTTGAATTTTGCAGCGGTAAATGTTAGCAGTATTAGTGTCACATACAAGTCATATCTTCAAAAGGCATGTTTTAACTCATTTTCACATTTTCAAAGTAAGTGATTTTCTTAAAAAAACAAAATAGGATGGTAGGACATGTTCTTAAAGATATTCCTACCCATCTGTGCATGGCTTTTCCCATTTGTACATATAATTTTCTCCAATTCTTAAGTACTCTATTTTTTATAACAACATGGTGTACTCATAAGCTTATTCATACAATACATGTTTATTAGAGTTGATTTGGCAGAGATTTTGATTTCAATAGTCAAAATATATTTACATTTTCAGAGACAATGGGCATAATATGTATTTGACTAATAACTAGTAGCTAGACTTTATATGTGTTTACCTATCTTATTTTGTTTAAACAGGTTTTCTCTGCCTTTGCACTACTAACATTTTGGACTGGATACTTTTTTTGGGGGGGAGGGGGTGGTTATCTTATGCATTGTATGATATTTAGCAGCATCTGTGGCTTCTAACTACTAGATGCCAGGAGTACCCTCTCTCTTCCCCTCAATGTGACATCTCCAGATATTGCCAAAGGTCCACTGGTGGGCAAAATAGCCCCCAGCTGAGAACTACTGGATTAAAACAAACAAAAGCTCCATTTTCTTTTATGAGGAAACTTTATTTTTTATTGGTAGTTTCAGGTGTACAGAACAATGCAATAGTTATCCTTTTCACCCTTTGCACAGAAACCCCCCTCTCCCATCTACTGCCCTCCCACCCCCGATATCATGCTTATCTATTACAATTCCATTGACTCCATTCCCACACTCTAATCCATGTCCCGTGACTATATGTATATATAATTATAGTTGACATACATTATTATTCAACATCAGCTTCAGATATACAGTGCAGTGGTCAGGCCTCTACACCGACTATGAAGTGGTCTCCCTAATAAGACATGAGTCCATCTGGCCCCCTAAAAAGTATTTACAACATTATTGATTATATTCCCCAGACTGTCTTTTCTATCCCTGAGGCCATATTGTAGTTACCAACTTGTCTTGTCTCATCCCTTCCCCTTCTCCTTCATCCCCACCCCCTCCCAACTAACCCTCAGTTTTTCCTGTGTCTCTGAGACTATTTCTGTTTACATTTCTCATTTATAGTTTTTTTAGAATCCACGTATAAGTGAGATCATATGGTATTTGTCTTTCTCTGACTTATTTCACTTAGCATAATGTTCTCTAGTTCCATCCATATTGTTGCAAATGGTACTATTTCCTTCTTTATAGCTGAGTAAT